CCAGAGTGGATTAAACTGAAAAAAATTAAGAAGATTAAAAGCACAAACTAAGAAACTATAAACTACCTAACTAGGTACTTCTTTCTTTACAATGCACGAGTTTTAGTCAACATTTTTTTTTTTTTGAAAAATGGTTTTACGTACAATTCCCAGTTTTCCCTTAATTTTTGTTTGTTTTTTTCTGGCGCTTTGAAAAGTAATAGGAATTTTCAATTTTGACCTCCCCTCAAGGTACCAAATATATTCTCTTTACTACAACAAAAGATGCTAGGTAGAACATTTTAGCATTTTTACTGCCCCAAAAAGTGATGACTGAATAAGTTGAGTCTAAATCACGAAAATTTGCTAATAATAATTTTGAGTAAGAAAATAGAAATCGATAAAAATGTTATTTTTATACATCGAATTTTAGAAAAACTATTCCCTAGATTCATTATACGATTATCTGCCTTAAGAGGACGCTACTAACATTATTTGTTGTCTCCGTCTTACAAGTGCGTAACTATGGCAAATTTACGGTTATAGAAGATAACGTTTAATTCTGTTTGGTTAATAATTAGAAAAGTTGACCTATTATTATTTATTAACTTGATGGTAATAACTTTATCTGTATTTGTATATAATTTTTTTCAATAATTTAGTTTTTAGGTGAGTTATGATCATCTACACTTTTTTATATACCTACGCATAACTTGCTATAAAATTGAACTATCGTAAAAAAATCACATACAAACACAGATAATGTTCTTAACATCAATTTTCATAATAGATCGATTTACTCTAATTTTTAAACTAACGGAGCTGTACTACGTGATCTGCTAAGCATACATTTGCTATGTTATGTACTTGTAAGACGTAGATAACAAATGGTAGTGTGGCGTCCTCATCTTAAATAAAAAAATTTACCTACTGGAAAATCAATGAGCATTTGAAGTTTAAATTTTAACGACATTTGATATCCACAGACTCACAGTATTCACTGATTCACTCGTAGATAAACAATTTATTTATTTTTCTGTACCTATAGTTGCATAGGTGCAATTTTGGGGGGGGATTAGCCCCTCTAGTGTTATTTAAGCCCCCCTACGTTTTTAAATATATTCATTGTTAAATCCACCTATTAAAAAAATTGTCAATATTTAAACTTAAAATGCCTATAAAAAAAATGTTGCATATGCATTTTCAATATTTTTCATCTGGTATAGTAACAATATACCAGGACCTTCGGATTCAATTTTCACGGTTTTTTATCCAACAAACAAAATTGTATTGACAATTAAAGAAAAAAAAAACTAAAAATGTCTGTAAATAGCTCAAAACGTGTCAAAATATTTTCAAAATTGTATGGTGTATAGAAAATGAGAATATAAACATTCAATTAAATGTTCATTTTTGAATTACAACAAAATAAGAAAATCGCTTCATGAGAAATC